GTTAGTACCCAGAAGAACCCTAATTCAACAATAAAAGTAACTCAAAAGGCACACTGAGCGAAACCATTCAAAAGATTCGCAGCGAAAATGAGGATCACCTTGAGCTGTTGTTCTGAAGAAGACCAGAAACCAGAGTCAAGCATTTGACGATTGTCTTCTTCTTCGATTGAGGAGCTTCACATGTAAAAAGTATATTTCTCGATGATTGATCAGAGATGAGAAAAAGCAAAACCTTTAGATTTTTCTTGTTTAATTTTGTTTTCCACACTTCAACTTCTTCTTCTCCCTTTGTCTGTCGATTTCTACCGTTTTGAATCAAACGAGATTACGAAAGGACAACTCATCATTATAAGCATGATATATACTAATCTTTATTTTCAATTTTATATAGGATTAACCTTTAATGCTTAGTATATATTCAGAGAAATGAGTTTTTTTGTTTGTGTGTCCATTTATCACAATACACTAAATACACAACCAGATTTTAATCAGCACTATAACACAATAATTAATACAAACCATCAAATTAGAAAATCTGATTACTTATTCAACTTTCATAAGAATATTTTGCTCGGATGTCTCCGAATGTTGTGACATTAAGAACCAATTTTCAAATCTCAGCCTACATAAAAAAAAAAAAAAGAATTATAATCGGATATTCCAACTTTTGGTTAACAACTTATTTCAACAATAGTGGACAGTCACAAAAGAAATTAAACAATTTGTGTTTGTTATAACATATTTCTAATTGAAAACTTTTTGAGATACGATAAAACAACAATATGTTTTTGGAATTTTCTAGTGAATTAAAACACTATTTAAGGGAAAAATAAATACTATTTTAAAAGAAGAAAGCCACTTTCGTATTTGCTGGTTGTTATTTAGTAAAAGTAGCCTTTCGTTGTCGAGAGTTAGGTATGGTTAAACACCACACCAATTTCTTTTCAATATTGTGAGGATGTGTTCGTTTCTTTGTCGCTTGTTCTATAATAATAAGTCAATACAAGAACAAGGTTTTTTAAACAGATTTGTTTGGAAAACAATTTCTATGTAATATATGAAATACTGATGTGAAAAGATTCACAGGTTAGTGAGTTAGATTGCATGGAAACGGAAACAGAAACGTGAAAACGATTTTTTTAAAAAATTTAGGAAACGAATACGTTTTAGAA